TATGTGGTTCAAGGGCAAGATCGATCTGTGGGTAAGGGGGAGGAACGAGAGCTGTTCAAAGTTGTATAGAGGCTTAAAAATTACTGGCCCTACAGTTATCAAAACAGATGTTCCAAAAATGGCAACCTCCATCTATCCAGAGAAAAATCTGAGAAGCTTAAAACCATTACTGGCCATACAGTAAAAAATATTACTGAATGTTATACACAATTTCAACTTATGTTTAGGAAAAACAATTATTTCTAAGTTGAAAAAATAAAACATATGGGCAAGCCCTCCATCTCTGGACAGACGTCTACGGACGCAGTGCTATGCCGAACTATACGCTGCCCTTTGAGAAACATGGGTCAGTAGTAGATTCATGGGTAAGGGGAGGAACAGAGCTGTTCCCAGCCAATGCTCTGGAACCACCTGACAGTTCAGTGCGGTCCGGGATTCGAACCGGGACCTTATGTGTCAGTCCCACGTCTCTAACCACTGAGCCACTTGGCTGGCCACGAGAGTGATGAAAAAAAGGGCTCCTCTTATATCAACCCTCACATTACATCATTATAAAAATGATCCAGACAGGGATCGATCCGGACCTCACGATCAAGTGTGATGTATTATCCTCAGGCCACACCCAATACTTGAGGGGGCAAGGCATAATACTGCATTATAGTTACAACTCTTCTACGCACTAAGTTATGGCAAGCACTTAGTTTCAAATCCCATAAAATACTGCAACATTTCCCCTCAAACCCAACCTTCCTTGCAGCCACCAAGAGTAGAGCTCCACGACCCAGTCAGACGACACAACCGTGCTGGGATCGCCAGTGGTTTTCAAGGTGTAGCCATCGTCCACCACAACACGAAACTAACACCTGGGTCTTGTCCGTAATACTCAGACACCATGATTAGGACTCCGGAGAGTGGGACAACTGACTGAGAGAGCAGCATTATAATTCATAAAAAAAACAAACCAAAACATTTATGCCCCATAACCTTCCTCGTCAATGGAGGAAAATGATACACTTTAGCACTTTAATTCAGACTATATTTGTCTGATCAGGAGCAGGCAATAAACGCACATATGCTGGACAAATACAATCTTATTCAGTCACTACTCGGAGGTCTGCAATGGTCGGTTTGCACCCCCTATAGCACAAGCTTTACTATAACTAAAAGAGGGTATTGAAGAAATCCTTGACATAAGCCATGAAGACTAAAAACATTTGGTCAGGAACATTTGAAACAAGTAGAAAGAGGGGGAGAATGAAGTTACAGATGAACATCTCGTAAGGGACCCTGCGAGATAGGGACGACCTTTCAACAAAGGACGCCTGTTTCACCCCATGCTAATAATACTTCAGTGTATTATTTGACTTCTGAGATAGGGCGACCTCTCTACAAGGGACGAATGTTGTCCACAAAGTGTCCCTTGTTTGGAGATTCCACTGTACATTACCTGAGCAGGCCGGAGTGTGTGGAGTCCACTGTCCATTTGCAGCACATATGGCATAGCTAACAGAGAGCGTTGGATGGTACCATTGTCACAGGTTAGTCCACCCGAGTGCCCTCGGTGTATCGATGAAACTGCTGGTTACTAACTCTGATTGTCCATCATCCCAAGAAAAGTTACGGCAACTGCAAAATCTGTTAAAAAGAAAAGTGAGATGGCGAGGCTAGAGTTACTGCAATGGACTTTACGAATACATAGGAGAAGAGTATACAAGACGACAAACATTGCACAATCTTAGCTACCAAAGCACACAGCACTGGCATCACTTCATCTCTCCGTGATATACAGTCGTGTGAAACCTGACCCCCACTGTGGGGAGCAGTCGAGTAGGGACTCCTCGTGTCCAGTACATATGAAGTCATCGAACCAAATGACTTCCATTCCACCCTCCAAAGAAGCTTCCCTCTGGGAGCCGACTGAGCCGATTGATGTGTCCCGACATCCGACACACAACGTCAGCATCATGAAGACCCCAGCTGCAAAGAAATTTGGAGTACACTGTGGATACCTCTCCAAGGACACCCTTGAAATGACGAAAACTCTCTAAAAGCTACAGCAAAAAATATTGTAGCATGTAGTTGACCTCTCTCTATGACACCCTCAAATATGACACCTCTCTAAAAGGGACACCTTTTCTTTAGTCGAGAACAGTTTTCTCGCTGACTAAAAAACAGACACCCTCACTAATATAGGCACACTTTTCATTCCATTGGTGTCTGGACTCCACTACCAAGTCTGAAATCGCGTCAACACAAAGAATATGTTTTCCTCTCCCGCAGGACAGTGCAACCACCAGGAACAGAACGAGGTGTTACACCTACTGGTCCATCCACAGATGGTGCCCATCCTGGTTGTATCATAGTTGACCTCCACTCTCCCTGCACGGCGAGCTGTTATACCTATCTACCAGACGAACCTCTGCGGGTATTACTGATGTCCGCAAGTAATATTGGATAGGAAAATAGCATAGCCAACTTAATGACCCTATAAACTATAGAGTAAGCTGTCGTCTGTATGGAGCAACACCAGGTGAATTAGTGGGGAGGGCTTTGGGAGCAACACCCACAAGATACACGCAATCATGCTTTAAACCAGATCCGCTGCAGGTGGTGCACCACGCCCATGGCTGGTATGTATATAAGTAGAATCGTATCTGGCAGATTAGAACAAAACGATAGGGCACAGTGAACGATTGAAGCATGCAATCTACAGGTTCAGTCTTTAGTAACATTACTGCCCTATATACTGACACATTCCTTTATGCCACTAGAGACTGTAACTAGCCTATCACAGTACGCTTATGCACATTACTGTCCCTACACATATGTATGTTACGTACGGAGGCATCGCACGCCTCCGTCGCGGCAGTGTTGTTGACAGTTGTCTCTCCAAAGTCATGGGCACAGTCCTGGGATGAACATCTCCGGACAGCATGCAGAGCAACGTTGTCCAGCAGATGATGACCGCTGACCCTGCTCCAAAACACTGAGGAATGATACAAGGTATATCCTGCTTGCAAATAGTGCTCCGGCCAGTGGGAAATTGTCGAAGGACTAAACTAGAGTACTTACCATACCGTACGTATGTTAAAAACAGAAACATTTAATGTGTGTTACTACGCTTTGTACGTGTGATACAAGCCAAATTAAACATGTCGCTAGTACGTGATTAAGCGGGCCTTACAAACATTTTGACGCATCCACTATGCCAAGATATACAAGAAAGGGCTTAAAGCGCAGATTGTACGTAAGTATATACAGTTGTAGCATATACTCGTGTAAGAGTCATTGGAACGGCTCCTGGGAAACCAAGAGACTTGCAGACAACGTTAGCATCGCTGAGAGTCCAACTGTCGTCACACCCGGCCGGTGGGTTTGTCCCACCCCCCCCCCCCCCCCCCAGAAACTGGTTGTTGTAGTAGATCTGGAGCCGACCCTCGTTGCCGAGGAGCCGTCAATTAGTTGGACTGGGTGGGATTGTCTGGTACAGCTGTGGAGGGTCATGTGAAAAGACTATGGGGAACGAACTCTTTGGGGGCCAAGGAACATACAGTACGTACATGCAAAATTTTCACAACACTGTTTACAAAGCTCTAGTAGCCTAATTTAATGTGCACTGGTACGTGAAGCTGTATGGTGCATAATACAGCCCCAATGATAAAGTAAATTATAGGTCGGCTCTTCATTTATGACTAAGTGTACTTCTTATGAAGTAAGAAGGAAATTTTAAGACCTGGTTTATGTGAAACAGGGTTATATGAGAGAGCCCAACTGAATTGGGTCAACCTGGGTTCGGTTTACCCAGCCAGTCTCACGTGCCACAGCTGTTTCGGTCTTGTTGGCACTCATCAGCACCAACTTCTCCTCTGCCAATCACGATTTTATAAAGGCTGTCAGGAGCACAGCACTTGTGGTTCTGGACTAATGAGATTCATCCCCACAAGGCTTTGCCACTGGTATGTATGGATTAACCACCGGCTAACTTACGCTGAAGTAAGCTTATGAGGCAACTTCATACAAGAGGGAATGTGGACCAACGTCAACATCAGAGGGTAAAATGCTTTAAAAAAAAATCGCACAATTGTGTTTAACTACACTCCTGTAAGCAGTGACGTCTATGGGGAAAACTAACTACTACAGCTAACTACAGCTTCAGCAGTTTATTCGGCTTATGTGGCGTACTCCATACAAGAGGCATGTGAAGATTTTCCTACTACGTATAGTCGGAGAAAAATGTTCGGAAAAAAATCGCACACTTGTGTTTCCTTAAACAGTGACGTCAATGCGGAAATTGGGCATTTGAATTATTGTGTTTTCGCATATGAACCTGTAAAGTGAGTGCAGATGTAATATACTCCAGACTGTTGGGACCATATATCGTATGCATGCCCATACAGTAGATGCGTGATCCATGCTGCTACGAATAGTTGTATGCCGATCGCTTCAAACAATAAGCATCGGGTGATGTGATGCCAAGAGAAAAAAGATAGGGAGAAACGGCTGGTGTTCTGCGAGACTGCTCACTGGGTTTAACAGGTTGTTGTCTGTGAATGCATGTTTGTTCGAGGACGCCTCATCAGCACTAGCATACACACACTTCTCCTCTGGCATCACGAGTTATAAAGGCAAAGCACCTATGGGATAATGCGACATTGCTGCTAAATGCTCTGCTCGCAGTGCACATATTTCAGCAAACAAAACACTTGAGCATGCGGACACCAGCGGTCTTGGTAGTGGCGACAGTTGGGACACCATAAACCCAAGTGCGCACTCAGAGAGAGATGCTCTCCGTTGCCACACACAGGCACATCATCCAGCAGATCGGACCTGCAGGCAAATGAACAAGACACGATTCTTCAGTTCTTTGTGGTATTGATTAGTGTGGTTCTGGTCACCATGATGATACATACATGTAACTGTCCTGGCTTGTACTATAATTCTTTTCTAATCTGATGTGCAATGATACAGAGCTAGTTGACAACTGTTCGACCCCTCTTTTTTATGACTGTAAGCGGTCTACTATCAAACCTCATCTGCACAGTGAGGTGCTCGAATCTGATACTAATTATCGCGTATATACATTGGCATGATACTGCATTTATAGGTACGTAAGTATTAAAAAAAAACCCCAGTGTAAGAGGATTTTCCTGTGTGGAGAGGATGAGAGAGAAAAAATGGAATGCACCGTGTGAACATGGCAATTGTAATGGCACTCAAAGGCAAAGCTAAGCAAAACAGGGAGCACACCTTGTCCTTGTCCAAAAGTGGCCAAACTCTCGGCACTGACGGCCACATCATATCCCAGCTGACGGCAGACGACTGTTGCATCACTGAGGTCCCAGTAGTCGTCACACACTGTGCCCCACGTCCCGTTGTAATAGACCTCCACTCTCCCCTCCATATCAGTGGAGCCACCCCGTAGCCTGATAGGGAGCACCTCTCCTTCAAAGGGTACAGAATAACGTGAAAACCAGTGAAAAAAACAATACTCGTGTAGCAAATTTAGGGCTCTCTCCAAATAGTAAACTACCACCAAAGTGAAAAAAATGCATCACACATCTAGTTCTTTCACGAAAACAAATTTTGGACCTGGCATTAGCTGCGAGCATTGCACCTGTTATTTATTTTAAAAACATATTGCCAGTTATAACTATGGGGGTTTGACCATTTTCAATAGTGCTGAAGATCCGATGCCCTCGAGAATAAAAACCCACAAGGCAATTTAGCTATACTACGTAATACAGATTACATGTACATGTAATACATCTGCATTAGAAAGGCAAAGGCAAGATGGAATTCTCTGCCATTATCTATACGCTCAGCTGACTCAATTTCCTCATTCAAGACATCATTAATGTTTGGTTATATCAGAATCATAGTTAACCCTCGGCGCGCATGCGCAGCGAGGGTTACAGTAGTCGTTCTGTCTGTCTGTCTGTCTGTCTGTCTGTCGACACTTATTCTGGCACTACAGGCTAGGAGGTGGCCAATGAGCAATACCAACGGCTTCAGAACCATGCGAACCTGAGAAAATATTTGGCGATTTTCCTGAAAGGACTGCGTTCGAGAGATATGCCGTGAAAACAAGCGAAAAAGCCAATATGCATAATCGCGCTGGCTTACCTGGAACTGATCTGCCTACTCCGCGTACCTTGGAGGCACAAGAAGTTACAACAGAGGGCGTGTGTCGACTCCCGCATGCAGTATACTAGTGTAGCTAGCCCGTGTCAGACTCTCCGCGAGCTGCTATATCATACCTACCAACCTGCAGATAAACCTTTGCTTGAGAAATATGTCAAATTTGCTTGATCTGGAGTATTTTTGCTTGATAATGCTGCATGTCCATTCAAAATGTATGGGCATGATGCATCACAGGTTAGCACAAAAAAGAGGGATTTGGCGATTTTCTGGTGGGATAGGCAGTATTTTTGCTTGATTTTCAAGCAAAAAGCTGGATGGTTGGTAAGTATGCTATATAGCGGGAGACCACGAGTAACTGCAGAGCCTAGCCCCTGCCCATCAATTAGCGATACCGGGCACGCGTAGTGCGCCGAGGGTTTGCACTAAATTTAGGTAGTGTACACCATGTTTTAGCCTAGAGCTACTGCGTTCACTTACGCAAAAAAGATAACAATTCAACTACACCCAGGGGAACTCTCTTAAGAGCCCACAACACACTCAAGTACAGGCTAAAGTAAGGGGGTAATTGTGAGGATTGCTTCAGTAGAGGGATCAGGGGGGGTGTTAGTAGTGTGGGCTGGAACTCACCCTCACACTCAGCCCCTGCATCTTCATAGTGACTGCAATCATGATTGCCCCAACCATTACTAGCACACAAATCTAGTGCAGTCTCCAGACCAGTACAGGCGACATTGTCCAGCCAGATGGTTCCAGTTCCCCGTCCAAACTCTGCTCTGACTGTGGCCCTGTTGGCTCCAGCATAGCCCAGCTGCACACATACCACCTGCAGTTGTGTATGGATCCATAAACCACTAGGTAACAAAGTTACATATGCACATAAATTTGCAGATCTGGCTCCAGAGATATTTTACTGGGGGACAATCAGTTCATTTAAGATGGTCCTAAAGTCTATTCGCGTTCACCTTGCCGGTAGGAAATCTGCCGTAATGTAGCTAAACAGCGACCGATTTCGAAATTTCAAAGCGCAGCGTGGTTGTAGTTGAGCGTAGGTTCTATTTATCTGCTTTGCGAGCGCGTCCAACGCCCACTCACGTACTTAGCTGTAAGCAAAGTACGCGACGTTCCTTTGACCGCGGGTCCAATGTGCGCGAGCAAGAACCCTCTCTCCCCGGCTACTGCGGGAGCCCAGACCAAGGAAAAGACAAGAATGAGAGGCGAATGACAGTGCAAAGGTCAGTATAAACCGTCTTTACTAGATAAACTCACGGAACTATCTATGCACGTAGAACGTATTCAACGCATGCGCGACATCCACTGCCCACAAATGTTCGCGATATTTCAATTGTGACGCAACCTTGCGTAAACAGTTTTGACTAGTGCACTTCCGGCGGTAAGGTGAACGCGAACAGACTTTAGTAACAACTATTTGGGGGTCTAAGTGTCCCATACAAAGAATATTCATGGCATGAATAATGAGATAGAGGGACCATGTCCACCTGGTGCACTCTGGTGGTGCCAGCCCTGATACAATTCTATAATTCTAGCTAAGCACATTGAGCTACATAGTCGCTCGTCTTTGACTCCCGGGTGTGGGTGTGTGTGTGTAGGGTTTTTTGCACCAAAAATCTCACGTTTGCATCAGTGACAGTCCAGCCATCGTCACAGACAGTTCCCCACTGTCCCAGGTTGTAGATTTCTACCCGACCTTTGTTATGGCCATTTCCACCCACAAGACGAACTGGATTCTCAGACGCCGTGTAGTCTGCGTATGTATGTGTGTGAATACACATGAATAAATGTTAAGTTCATCATTTACAACTTTCATTTACAACCTTCATTGCTTTAGACATGAATGAGTACGGGAGATTATTACTGGTTTAATGAAAAGCACTAAGAGCAAACCCTCGGCGCAGTGTACGTGTGACAGCGCTCGCGTAAGTAACGCATGCGCAAGTACCCCTAATTGATAGGGCTGGGTTTAGTTTTAGCTGTACTCTGTGGTCTCTTGCCAGCTCGCGCAGTCTGACGCGGGCTACTACACTACTAGATAGCATGCGAGAGGCTATACACGCCCTGTGTTGCATCTTCTGGTGCCTCCGAGGTACGCAGAGCACGCGGATCGATCGGACCGTGGTAAGCCACCCCACCCCGTCCGTCGTGTATTTGCATATTGGCTTTTTCGCGCTCCAGCTTGCAACGGAGCAGTTTTCAGAGAAAACCCCCACATATTTTCTGACACTTCATTGCCCGATAAGTAGGTCGTATCCTTTGTGAGAGCGAACAACACACGGAGAAGTGAGATTGAGAGTAAGAGACAGACAAACAGACAAACAGACAGACAGACAGACACAATGAAAAGCACTGAAGTGCAAACCCTCGGCGCACTGTGACGCGCACAGCGCTAAGTAAACGCATGCGCCGTACCACTAATTGATGGGCTGTTAGTTTCGCTGTTACTCGTGGTCTCTTGCCAGCTCGCGCAAAGTCTGACGCGGGCTAGATAGCATGCGAGAGGCCCTGCGTTGCATCTTCTGGTGCTCGAGTACGCAGAACACGCGGATCGATCCGACTGTGGTAAGCCATCCCTCCGTTGTGTATTTGCATATGGCTTCTCGCGCTCTAGCTTTGCAACGGAGCATTTCAGAGAAAACCGCCTTTATTTCTGACCTTCATTGCCCGCTTCAGTAGGTCGTATCCTTTGTGAGACAACAAACAGTCGAGAAGTGAGATGAGAGTAACAGACAGACAGACAGACAGACAACCCAACTACAGTAACCCTCGCATGCGCATGCGCGCCGAGGTTAATGAAAGCACTAAAGTAGCAAACCCTCGGCGAAGTAGCTCACAGAGTGTCTGACACGGGCTAGCTACAGTAAGATAGCACGCGAGAGTCGATCACACGCCATTCGTTGTGACTTCTTGTGCCTTCAAGATAACAGAGCAAGCGGACCCGTCGGTGCTAATATAAGCGCATGCGCATTTATCCGCCAGCGATAAATGGCGACTACCGGCATTAGCCATACAATGCTGGAAGCGCTCTAGCTTTGCAAAGGAGCATTTTCAGAGAAAACCCCACAAAATATCTGACCTTCATTGCCCGTTGAGTAGGTCATATCGTTTGTGAGACGACACAGACATTCGAAAAGTGAGATGTAAGTAACAGACACACACACACACCACACACACACAAAACACCCAACTACAGTACCCTCGCTGCGCATGCACCGCGAGGGTAATACACACAAAACCTCTTGACTATGAATAACTATCTGTCATTATTGGGATGAATAAAGCCCCCTAGAATACTAGGGGCTTATTCATCCCCAATAATGACTGATTAATCAGCAATAGAGCATGCATAATTCCCCCTGTTAGCGTACTAACAGAGGGTGAGTCTCAAGTCTTGCAATGCCTTAAAGGCTACCTAGTACTAGTGAAGGTAGCCAGTGTCAGATTTCCGGCGTGCTACACGAGAAGAGAGACCACGATGACTAGACAGCGTAGCCCAGCCCACCAATTAGTGGTACTGCATCATCAGAGTGTCGTGGGTTCAAATCCCACCCGGGCGTGTTTGCCTTTGCTTTGCCCTCATGCATGTATGTTGATGACAAATGCATGTTTGTATTTATTAGCAATGCATGCTTGCATCGAGGTTGGTATTATTTAATGGCACTAGGCAAGAAAGAGAGCTTACTTGTACAGGAGACTCCAGCATCTTCCTCATGAGAACAGTCATGGTTGAAGACTCCGTTGTGGGAGCACTCTATCAGCTCGTGCTCTGTCCCAGCACATCTCATGTTGTCCAGGAGGATGTCACCAGGTGCAGGGCCAAAGTAGGCACTAAGATGCAATACACAAGGTTAATGGAGTAAAAATGCAAGCAAAGCTGATTACTTTTATACATATATTATACCCCTGCAAAACAATTGGCACAATTTGTTCACCTGGTCATTGCTTTAGCTATTTACCTTAACATCTATCTAATATTAGTAACACGACTTGCAACAAACTATTAAAGAAGACTACACTTGGGCCTTCTATATACAACAACAAACACATTTGGAAGTAAGTAATGTGGATGGAAAAAATGCCATGCGTCTGCTGGTCATTTGCCGTTTTAACACAATGCATACTTCAAAAGGGTAGAGACAGCAAGTTTGATCAGTTATCTGTGCGAGTGCTCACGCACTTATAACTTCTAGAACGACAAGGCTGAAAGTGACAAACCTGGAATAGGCTCTGATGGCGTCGGCGAATCCCAGCATGTGGCAGGCCACCTCGGCCTCTGAGAAACCCCAGTAGTCGTCACATACGGTGCCCCAAGTCCCGTTGTAGAAGATCTGGATGGTTCCCTCGTTCACGCCGGTCTCATTTCCGTTGACGACGAGGCGGATGGGGTTTGTGAACTCATCGTTCAGATTGCGAGCTGTATCGTCAGGGTTAGAGCACACCACTTACTGTACATGTTCCCTGCCATACACATACTATATTACGCAACAGTAGTGGTAACCTTGGATACTACCCCCGACAAGGCTCCATCGGACATATCGCTGTTCACATTCAAGAAGCGAAAAACAAAAGTTTGTGGTTCCTATATTTTCATGGTCTTTACTCAAAATTTTCTGTTCATGTCTGACACTAAGTGTTAGCACTCATTACTGGCAGGCCACTCTATGGAGCAGTTTGAATTGTGTACCATTGTGTACCTGTGCTCTAACTTTAAAATGCATTGCGTAGTTTCTGGTTGGTCCTTACGTGTGCAGGTGACACCAGCATCCTCATAATGGCTACAGTAGTGCTGGAAGTAGCCAATGTTGGGGCAGTCTGTTATATACAGCTCCAGTCCATTGCACCCCACATAATCAAGTATAATTGGGCCGGTACCCTGACAAATTTGGTAAACGAGACAGTATGTAATAAGTAATATTCATATTATGTCATTAAAGACAATTTGTGGCACGGAGTAAGTAATAAAAGTTTTCTTATATGACTGTTTGTTGAACCCGCACTAAGCCTACGCATAAAACCATACGATCTGAAAATGGTAGTATAATACAAACAATTAAACGTAAACCTAACTACTCTTCCACTGACCTCAATTGTATTAGTTAATTAAACTAACCTTTACGTACTGACACACTCCTCAAATGATACAGCCAACCGAAGAGCCTTACCTGCCCAAAACGAGCGTAGAAAACAGCCTCGGCTCCGTAGGGAAGGAACCCGAGCTGCCGGCAGACAACTTCAGCGTCGAGCTGATCCCAGCCATCATCACATATTGTCCCCCACTCTCCATCCAGAAGGATCTCCACACGACCTTCATGGTCATTCGAGCCACCGACAAGACGAATAGCTGGCGGCGGGCAAGGAGGCGGGTTACACTCAGCTGCACAATAGTAAGGAGTCCTTAATACACAATCCAGCCACTCAACTAGCAATTTGAAGGTGCTGTACTTGCCACTGTACGGTTTGACCAGCTTCGAATAGAGATTTATTGAGGAGTGAAAAAATACATGTTATGTGGGAATGTTTGAGAAGTGTAGTGTCTTCACAAATGTGAGTCACTACTTGCAGTTGATGGCATGCTTAAGCTTTTAGGCTTCTGTAGAGCCTTTTCAGGCACAGAAGGTCCAACGCACAGCATGTGTCAACAACAAGGTAGCGAGGTAGAAAGGCAAGGCAAAGCAAACTAGTCAACTAAATGTAATCCTGTCCGTTGTGACTCCCACTAATACACAGGGCACAGCAGCTTCAGAACAGTCAATGTACAGCATGTATGTAACCCTGGCTGCGTACATACACTGTTGTGATGCCCACTAACAGTGGATCAGGCATCTTTACGAAAATTTGACCCATGGGACACAGCGCTAAAACATGAGTGGGAAACGTGTGAGGATTTCAAAGATGTTGGTGTTTTAGCAATTTTCAAGTGTTAAGGTGAAAAACGCATCCACTCCATCTGCACTAAATATAGAGCAGTATATACATATATTTTTTAAAAAGTGTCTTACTCCAACACTTGACACCAGCGACTGTACTGTTGGAGCAGTAGGACGGGATGTAGGGGGAGTAGCGGAATCCATAGCAGTTGGCCAGCTCACTTTCACGTCCGTAACAATCAGTGTAGGCCATCAGCGTTGGCAGATCACCACTTCCGAAATAAGAGTTACTCAATGCTCGTAATGCACCTGAGTTGAGACAAAAATGGTGAACGTAGTATAAATGTGATTCAATGGCCTGTTATGCCAATGTACCATCGACACAGCTTTTTACTTCATTTCACAGCATATCCACAGCACACACTTTGCTTCAAACCTACCGTTGTATCCCAATTGGCGGCAAACCACATTTGCATCGGAGGTGGTCCAGTATGCAGAACAAATTGTGCCCCACCTGAAAGATTTTATAAAATGTTCTGCTTTCACATCAGTTAGCCTATATACATGCTTAAATGTTAGCTTTTATGATTATTGAGTATTATGTTCAAGACAACACTCTCCGTCAAACTTCAGTGCCCAAGATCCACTAACCTGTTATGGTAGTAGATCTCAACTCTTCCTTCACTCTCTGAACCTCCATCCACCAGACGAACGGGGACCCCGAACTCAGACTCTTTGAAAATACACATTAGGTGTTCAAATCATTATGACATCAACACCAATTGGACAGCCAATACGTAATAGGAAGTAGCATCAGTAAAAAATACATCCACATATCCCAATAGAATCCACATTACTTCCTGGGTGCAGGGGTTTAGCTAGGGAGAAATTGGAAGAGTTGAGGTTGACTAACAACATGCCACACGTTTTGCTTGGTGTTAAGGAGGAGGGGGGGGCTGCCCAATTTAGAAACTGTTACTAAAAATGGAAGCTTAATTGCATTCTTGCACCGGGCATTTACATACCTACTGTAAGTATATATGTCTCACTCATGCTATATACCCTCACAGCACTAACAGATCATCACCGTCACACCCTCAATGAATGATTTCAAACAAACCTTCGCAAACCACGCCGGCATCCTCATAGTGACGACAGTTGTGGATTCCAAACCCGAGACTCTCGCAGTCAGAGAGATACATCTCGGACCCAGTACACTGCACGTCGTCCAACCAGATTGGCTGGTTGGACGAGCCCTGGCCAAACTGACTCTCACGAACAGCCGTGGCTCCTCCGACGAACCCGAGCTGATTGCACACGACCAGCGCATCCTCCTGGCCCCAGTAGTCATCACAGACAGTACCTACACGTTAGGGGAGGGGGGATTTGTATTGAAACTAGCTAGTCCTGAATAATAATTATGCTATCATGAACTGGTTAGCTTACATATATGGCATAGAGAGAGCGCTCATCATACAACCACAGTCAATGCACGCTCGGTGAGGCGACCTCGTGTGTCTCTAACCGGCTTCATTCCTGGTAACAACCTTTTGAATTGGCCACGGTACAGAACACGACAAAAGAGACATGCTACATTATGCTCATAAAGCTGGTCTCGACGGGCCATAAAACACTCTGCTGCCCTCTCATACCTCAATTACTACAGAACTAACTCTTGTGCTTTAGCAACAACACAAATCTCACCCCACACGCCGTTGTGAAGTATTTCCACTCGGCCCTCCATTGAGGTGGAGCCTCCAACAAGCCTCACGTCAGCACCTGCTGAACGGTCTGGAGGAGTGGGATAAATCACGTTTTGTCGAACTCATATTTGGGCCAGAATTGTATATACGTGCAATAAGCATGTAATTTAAATAGCTCATGTTTTTGTTAAGCTAGTATGTAGGGAGTGTAGTGCCTAAGCCCTGAACAAGAGCATACCTCTGCCACCGCAACTTACTTACTCGCTTTGTTTCTGAGTAAACGTTGCTAATTGTTCCATACTAGTATATAAGTAAACCAGGCCGGAAAGAGCTAATTATGATGAAAGTACAGGGGTGCATTAATATTGCCACACTACACTGCAGCAAACATTAAAATACAACCAGAACCACTCACTGGAGCAGACAACAGAGGCATCAGAGTAGTGGTAGCACGAATTAATTCCCCAGCCTGGGAAGCTACATTGATCAATGCTGTCTTCAGTCCCGTTGCATTGGACATAATCCATCCAGATGGGGCCTGCTCCTTGTCCAAACGATGATCTGTATCCAACCTCTTCAGCATAGGCATATCCCAACATCCTGGAGAGTTGCAACACAAACACAAGAATGAACTGTTAACAGTCTGTCTATTACCACAACTACTGTAAACCAGGATACAGAATGAGAATGAAAGCACTAAAGTGTGAACCCTCGGCGCGCTGCACATGCGTGGCACCGCTATTTGATTGGTTGAGCTAAGAGTATGCGATTACTCGTGGTCTCCTGCTAGTAGCTCGCGGAGAATCTGGCACAGGCTAGCTACACTAGTAGATAGTGTGCGGGAGTTGATACACGCCCTCCGTTGTGACTTCTTGAGCCTCCAAGGTACACAGGAGCGGATCAGTTCGCGGTAAGCGATTATGCATATTGGCTCTTTCGCTTGTTTTCACCGCATACCTCTCAAATGCAGTCGTTTCAGGAAAATCGCCCTTTTCAGGCTCGCGTAGTTCTGAAGCCGCTGGTATCGCTAATTGGCCGCCTCGTAGCCTGTAGTGCCAGAATAAGCATCCGGCACACACACAGACCGACAGACAAACCAACTACCGTAACCCTCGCTGCGCATGAGCACCGAGGGTTAACGAGGAACTGATACAGCCTGTCTTTGAGCGATAAACTGGCTCTGTAATGGGTTGGATATTAGCATTAGAGTGAATTAACAGCTTAAGATAAAGAGAAGTCTGTGAAATCAACATTTGCTACATTACGTCGCCAGGGGTGGTTAGTAAACCGGATGATGATACACAAAAGTAGGTGGACACATTATAACGCGAGGTGCACACTGACATTTGGTTTAGAGCTCGCTCACCTGCACACAACATCTCCATCAACCACGTCCCAGTAGTCATCACAGACTGTTCCCCAGACACCGTACACATTCACCTCCACACGACCTTCGAACTCATGACCATCGTCTCCGTCTGTCACCAGACGGACTTCAGGTGGGGGAGGAGGCTGGTCATCAACTGGCGGTACATGTGTGAGATTTTGTAGGGAAGAGGGAAGGATTACAGTGGTGACTCTTCTGTATGTAGGCAGGGTTTTAGGCAGGTAGCAGTCAACAGCATTCACTTCCAAAAGACAACATTATAGGTATACTACGCATGTATTAGCAGCATGTATATATTACACACTCAAAGTAGATAGTAGAGAGACACATGTACAACCAAGCCAGGGAGGCTAAAAAAAAGTTCATGCTATGTAACACCTGCACAGAAGACAGTGGCGTCACTGTAGTGGTAGCAGTAATCTGGTGTAGTGTGGTGACACTCAGAGAGAGACAGCTCATCCCCGTGGCACAACATCTGGGTCCAGTAGATGGGCACCGAGTCGTTGGTGTCCACTGGATACCCTGACCGACTGGATGAAAACAGGGCCCCGAAAAACCCTGCATATTATGGGATGAGATTTATGAGATAGTATATGTACATATGTGCTATATATACGCTAAGAGAGGTATCAGAGGATGGTGTCTTTGCAACAAAGCCTTGTACTTCATGAATCTTGACTACACATTCACCGCACTAACAGCACATGCAATTTTGCATGTCTCAAAAACTTGGTAACGAGGTATGTAGAAAGGTAAGGCAAGGCAAACAAGTCAACTACACCCAGGACAGCTCTTTCTTTTCAAAGAAAAGAAGAACAGTTAATTGCCCTGGGTACATAGGATTCGAACCCACGACACTCTGCAGTCTAGGCGAGTGGACACTCTGTAGTCTAGGCGAGTGCTCTACCAACTGAGCTACCAGGGCAACTCAGCTGGTAGGGGTTCGAATCTACAATACAACACAAATGACACACCTCAAACCACTGTGCTATGGCACAGTACACTCTCACTCCTGTACACTATATGTAATTATGCACATGGACATACAGGGTTCCAGGAATCAACGCGGAATGAAAGGAATGTGTAACGGCACCTACCTAATTGCCTGCAGGCCAGATCTGCATCCTCGATGCCCCAGCCGTAGTTACAAATGGTGCCCCAGGTATCGTTGATGTAGACCTCCACTCTGCCGTGCCGGAGCTGTCCTCCGGTGGTGTTGCTAGTGGCTGTCCCATTGTTGAGTCGTATTGGGTAATAGGGAGCATCTCCGTGATCAGCTGCGAGGGTGCAAGAGAGACTAAGATGAGAACATACAAATCACTCACAGATGTTTCGCAAGTCATTACACAACTCATTACACACGCTCCCACTCCCAATTGCACGTGTGCACGTAATGTACACTTATTTTGTGTATCTTTACTGAGGGGTGTTATAGCTCATTATAAATCACCATCAAGTCTTGAGTTGTATTACATACCTCCAGAAAGCTGTGGTGCATAACTTTTACAGGCCTACTCTGCAGAGTGTCGTGGGTTCGAATCCCACCTAGGGCAGCTCTTCTTTCTTCCTTGGAAAAAAGAGCTGTCCTGTGTGTAGTTGACTATTTGGTGTGCCTTTGCCTTCTACCTTATAAGTAATTGACATGTGATAATACACGACAAAAAGCAATCAAAAAGACAGAAGGCATGTATACATACCAAACTACTAATGTTTTATCTCTCGGCGCAGAGTATGATTACGGTAGCAATTTACGTATTTTGTGTTTGTATACATGTTTATTTACATATGCTCAGCTCCGGACACTAGGACTGCATAGCACGCACAACTACATAGGAACAAAATATATCTTGTATAGTTGTGGTAAAGACCAGAATGTATACGTTTCCTATAAAGAAGCCCAAGCAGCATTTTTTCTCTTGCATGCCTGAGCTGTTAGATTTTCATACATTCTATCGCAGTGCAAATAGCGTGTAGGGTGGTACCCACTGAAGTGAATGAAAAAGCACTGAAGTGCAAACCCTCGGCGAACTGGGCATGCGCGGTACCGCTAATTAATGGGCTGGGCCTATCTACTCGTGATCTCCCGCTAGTAGCTCGCGGAGTGTGACACGGGATAGCTACAGTAGTAGATAGCATGCGGGAGTCGATACACGCCCTTCGTTGTGGCTTCTTGTGCCTCCGAGGTACACAGAGCAAGGTCGAGGTAAGCTAGTGCTAATTAGCATATTGGCTTGTTCACTTGCTTTTCACGCCATAACTTCTGAACGCAGTACTTTTACGAAAATCGCCATTTTTAAAATCAAGCCTGTGTAGCGCTGAACCCGTTGGTGTCGCTATTTTACCTGTTTGTTGCGCGTGGTGGCAGAAAACGTGGTAACAGACGGACAGACAGACAGACAGACAGACAGACTGACTGACAGACGGACAAACCAAGTACTGTAACCCTCGCTGCGCATGCGCGCCGAGGGTTAATAAGGAACAAGGGTGGTACCCACTGAGGTGAATAACAGACCTTGTTTGCACGTAACACCGACATCATCATGGTGGTGACAGGAAGAACCCCAGCCATCAAATGGACACTGAGCAATGGACGCCTCGGAACCATTGCACTGCATCGAGTGCATCCAGACTGGTCCACTAGCCCCAGGATAGGGGTTATTCCTGCACCGAGTTAGCACAGAGACAGTGGATTTTATAATAGCGTGAATGTTTCCTAAGTCTTTTAATAGTGCATCAAACATTGTTCTTGTATGTGTACATTCATTTGCCTACACGAGTAAATGCAACCCAAAAAAAGAATATAAATTATTTCATCTTGCTAGCAAGGGTCCTACTCACTAACTGAGCTAAACTCAACATCACAATGCTGTTTCTATGAGCAGCTCAACTGAGCTAACTGAGCTAATCAGGTCTGCTCATAGAAACAGCATTAGGTTTATGATGTAATGTGCGCATTTCAGCCCCAATAAGTTAATCTGAGCACGCCATGCCACTATATACATCTACATTATATATATCACTGCAAGAATGTGTAATTAGACTCCACCCATTTAGGGGCCTCTGCATATGGGCATTATTTTGATGTTGGATGTGAGAGCAGCCTGGTTAACAAGTCTTCGTATAGCTTTGAGCTTGTAACTTTGAGACTCAGAATGATATAAATGACTGTGTGTAAAAATGTACAGAATTATCATGCCTTACCGTTGAAAGCTGGCAACTCCAGGGTAGCCAAGTTCATGACATACCACGTCTGCATCGACATAGTCAAAGCCATGATCACAGATAGTGCCCCACTGGTCAGAATGGTAGACCTCCACTCTGCCAGTGTAGGGATTAGGGCCGTCCACCAGGCGAACAGCAAAGTCTGTAGAAATCAGTGGTGTTTGAAAAGAGACAAAAAGTGTTACCTGTATAATCACGTATTCTCTTAGTAACATTTTGTGCAGGCAATTCTCTGCTGTACGTATCCATGTGTCAACTATACGAGGTAGAAAGGCAAACGCACAACTAACAAGTCAACTACACCCAGGTCAGCCGAGCTGCCCTGGGTGGGATTCGAACCCACGATACTCTGCAGTCTAGGCGAGTGCTCTACCAACTGAGCTTGCTCCCCCTCCTATCAGGACATTGATTGGGTGCAGACAGAGAAACACGTGTTTGAGCAGGCCTAGAGCAACTCAGCTGGTACATAGGGGTTCGAATCTTCAACCAACACAACACAAGGCAAACCTCAAACCACTGTGCTATGGCACAGTAACTCTCACTCAGTAATCTAGCGGCAAGACGTGACAATGATGGCTGTATTACTGGCCGACTGCATTAGTGCGAGGATTGTGCCATGCGCATTTTCACCATAATCTGTATGTCTATCGATAATATGTCAGTCGTGGTTTGTATGTGCACGTCAGTAGTTGACTGTACCATGTACTCTACTTCATACTTGTCGTCACCTATTAAAAGTCTTTCGTTATCATCATATACACTAAAAACACACATCATGGGAAATTAGGTAGAAAGGCAAAACGCACAACAAACACAGTCAACTACACAGGACAGCTGTTTTTTCCAGGGAAAAAAAGAAGCGTTGCCCTGGTGGGGATTCGAACCCACGCACACTCTGCACTCAGGGCGACCCCGTGCCTCTACTACCACTGAGCTACATACCATGCAACTCAGCTGGTAGTGCGCGAGACCGTGACAATTATTGCCGACTGCATATAGTGCAAGGAAATCTTAGTGGGATGCCATTGGCTTTTTCAACATAATCTGATACATATGTCAGTCGCTGGTTTGGAAGTTCGTATGTGCACGTCAGTGGTTGATGTACATGCAGTACTCTACTTCATACTTATGTATGTCACTATTAAAAAGTCTTCGCTATCATTCATACACACCATCATGGGCATTTACGGTTATCCCGGTAAGCACTAAACACATCCTACAACACTACCGCTCTGTCACACAGACCCCGCTACGTCACTCTCGTGTGCACATCTGACCCACGTCTGTCCCACGTCTCCGGGGCAGTCGACGAGCCGTCTCTCGGTCCAGTGCAGCGGGAAGGAATCTCCAGATTATCGGCACTCACTTCCTCCTATCCACAGACATACTGGCATTATGAAAAGCGTTACGTAGCACACAGTTGTTACACTAGTCAAACTCCCTTGGGGTTAATTAAACCAAAACATAATTGAATAAAGGAATCTGTGATGACTGTAGACGAACTCGCTGTGCTTTCTTGACGCGCTGGAGGAGAGGACGAGAGGAGGAGAAGGACTAGATACGCGCCACCCTTACAAATCGTTTAAGAACAGGGCACACCATACTGTATATACAGTACACTCACACAATGATAAATAGCCTAACATTAATCTGGCACTTGTTCGGTGTGGTAGCTTACCATATCCAGTTAGCAAACGCGTGGCTAGTCAAGACATGATTACTGCACAGTCGGAATGTTCAACATCAGCATGGGGTCTTGGCAATGGCGTGAGGAGGGTTGGAGGTAACATCACGCGCAGATCGCAGAACATCAGTATGATAGTGCATATGTACGTGACAAGGTTACTGTGTAGAAAGGCACAGAAATTCAAACCAGTTAACTCCAAAAAACTACACCCAGGACAACTCTCTTTTCCGCAGACAAGAAGAAGAGCTGCCCTAGGTGGGATCGAACAACGACAGGCCGCTCTCTGTGCGTATGTAAAGAAGACTTGACTGGTACTTGAAAGTAAAAATTTCAACACAGAAGCCTCTGTGGCGTGGCTTTACTACGTATGCTGCTTCCAGCCGTAGGGTATACACTCTGTTTGAACAAAGACACATTCTTATCACATCTGCACACAAAGGTGTCGTCAAGACGTCCAACTGCCACAGTAGCGTAAGTGACAAAAGACAGAAACCAAATAGAACGAAACTGCACTATCGACTAAACTGCAGAACACCACACACATGAATCGTGCCTTCCCACATTAATATCACTGATGACAGCGTAACCAAATGCTGCATGTTATGGCAGTTTTGATGGACTTCTGTACGGCGAATATATAGTGAGCCATTGCACCAAGCCATACAGCACTATTCAGTCGGTCCAAGAGTATTATATATTTCCTGTTATGCACTATACTATTACACAGGGTGCGCCTCCTGGGCAAGATGAACTTTGATCATACCCACCGCTGCATCGTCTCCCCTCACCATTCCTTTTGCACAAGGTAATTCATGTCTGGGAGCACCATTTCACATTATAACTCTCCACTGTCACAGCCGACACACAATGTTGGGAATATGTGATTCCCATACTTACGTTGTATACGAGTGCATGTGGAGCAGCAGTTTGTGTGTTTGTTGAACACATAATTACGTTTTTAGGTCCACTTGCAGCCACAAGTTCTCGGATCACTGGCTATCCAGTTGTAAAACTCTACAACGGACACGACAATGCACTTTGTGTGTCAGTAGTGCAAGAGTCTCTACATACAGACCTGGAGCGATAGAACCGTCAGGACAGGTCGAACGGCTGTTTCAGTCAAATGCCAGCCATGACACAGTCGACGCGTATGTGCTATCCGCCAGTCCCCATAGTCCACGACACTGCAGACCGTGGCCCCACTGCCATTCCTGTAATCTCCACACTCCCTCGTACTGACTGCCTATCCAACTATCTCGTTGTCACGTTGTTCACCAGACGTACCGTGATCCCCTGGCCTGCATTGTTGGAAACAAGTCTTTTATATAACCATTGTCATCAGTCTTCTGCAACTATAGTATTCATGAGATAGTATGTGATATATGTACATAGCCACTACTTCGAGGCGCCAACAGTACATCATGACAAGCGCACCAGAGACTCCCAGGACCAGGACAGTGTCATACAGGAAAGAGTACGAACGCCAGTTGAAGCCTGCCACACTTGCATCGCGCTGTTTGGTTCGTTCTGCGTCGGTCGTCACAGACGCCAAGGCGGAGCGATCTGAGTGCGGGGTGTGTCTCACAATTGCCACGCTAAAGCCATATGCGCATGCGTAGACACGCTGCACAAAAGAAGACCTCCAGTAACGTCCGTCCCAGCACAACGTCTCAGCGATCCTCACGATGCTCCCAGATTGTGAGAGAACACCAAACATTTGAACTGTTTGTGGCTGCAGTGGATGGACAATGAAGGGATCTGTGATGCAGTGAGCTTAGAAGTACCTATAATGATCATACATACTTTTTGTGAGGATGAAGGAGGAGGACTAAAATCTTCATATCTTGACTATTATTATATAGCTGGATAAATAAATGATCCTCAAAGGCGACTTCCATGAAAAGAGGGCTAGAATTGTCGTACTTTTTGTATATAAGTGGGAGAAGGGACAAGATGACCAATGCTATTACTTATCTTGGCTATAGCTGGAGAGTGCAGTGAAAAATCTTCTGGAGTTACTCTATGATAACACGTCCGTACTTTCGGTAAGCAAGTTGGAGGAAGGAAAGGACGACTGACAATATTTCATTGGGAGGTAGGACAAGATGACCAATACCCTTTCTTATCTTGAATATTGCCTGAGAGTGCAGTGAAATAATCTTCTGAAGTGACTCTAAATGTTACATTTTGCAAGCAAGACCTTCAGACTATATATAGTTTATAGTTTGAAATGATCATCAAAGGTGACTCCATGAAAAGAGGGTTCATACTTTTTGTAAGTAAGTGGAAGAAAGGGCAGGACAACCAATGCTCTTCCTTATCTTGAGTATAGCTTGAGAGTGCATGATAATAATTATCTGCTGGAGTGACTCTATGAAAAGAGGGCATAATCATCGCAAGCAAATGAGAGCTAAGGCAACATTGTACCTACCAACCTGTAGATAAAGCTTTGCTAGAAAAATGTGTAGAATTTGCTTGAGTTGGAGTATTATTGCTCAAATATTAATGCTGCATGTCCATTCAAAATGTATTGGCATGATGCATCTCAGGTTAGCACAAAAAAGAGGGATTTGAGTATTTTTGCTAGGAGGATAAATTTGGTTCTTTGCTTGGCCTTGTTAAAGATTTTATTTTGGATGTTTGGGAGCTAAGAAAGGTTAGGTTATACGGTGATAGTCCCCGCGTACAACAAACCCAGTCTCAGATGCGTCTGGGAGCTGCAGGTGTCGCTGGTGGAAGGGTGATTGAGGTGTCTGGGAGGTGAGATAGACACCTCATGTTCATATGGTGTATGTTCGTTTGTT